CATCCTCTTACCAAGATGAAAAATAAGATTGAAATTATGGTGTCAAGTTGTTAAAAAAAAAAAAAAAAGGAGAGGGGTCATGCATATTTTTTCCAGCATTCTGGGAATTTTTTCTCCATTAGCCAAAATAGTTACGAATGTACTTACAATAAAAAAACAGCCTAAATTAGGATAACACTGTGTCATTTGGAACATTAATGTCAACTGTCAAGAATATTTTCATCTCTAAACATATTCTACCTCAGTCCATTTAATCAGTAAACTTTTGTCACGTGTTGTTAGATAATCGTTGTTTGCCCTATACAGGATAACTTTCTTCTATGAGTTAATTTTTCTCTTAAAATAATTTTTATATCATTATCACTTTTCCATGATGCTTTTATAGATACAGGGGTTTATCCTTCCCCCATCCTTCCTTCCTCCTCATTTCCCATCCCACCTTCCCCCTCACCATATTATCACAATAGTACCATCCCTTAGTACCAGTTGTAAGTTTAACTTTCTAACTTCCTGACATGATAAATACCAAAAAAGTAGAAAACCTAGTATTATTATATAGAGATATGTTTGCCTGGTACCTTTACTTTCCCAGTATGCTAGACTTACTTGAAAAGTTAATGTATGTAAATATATATATTTATGTGTGCATACATATGTATTTGTATATATATGCACAAATACATAACTACATATACATATATACATTTAAGCAAGCACATACACACATATATGTACAGATACCATGCTTGCATCTATACATCGTACCTTATATATGTATACGTGGAACCTTGCATATTAGCTGTCTTCTAACAAGCACAACAGATGATATTTGTCCTTGGGCATTGGCTTACTTTCCTCAACATGTTTTTCCAGCTGTGACCATTTTGCCGCAAAGACCATTTTGTCTTTTTTATGGCTGAGAGTATTCAATTGGGTACATGTACCACAGGTTCTTTATCCATTTCTCTGTTGAAGGAAATTCAGATTGATTCCATGTCTTTATTATTGTGACTTGGGCTGCTGTAGGTACAGTTGTAGGTCAGTCTCTCAAATGCAGATTTCAATTCCTTTGGATATATTCCCAGTTGTGGGATAACCGGGTCATATGGTAGATCAAGTCTCGGTTACCTAAGCACTCTCCATGCTGACATCCAAAGTGGTTGTACTAGTTTACATTCCCGCCAACACATTAGGGTGCATTTTCCCTCACATCCTCACCAACAATTGTTGTTTGTTGATTTCTGTATTTTGGCCATTCTCACCTATGTAGGTGGAACCTCACTGTCATTTTTATTGGTATTTTCCTAATAGCAAGAGAAACTGAGCATTTTTTCATGTGGCTATTATCCTTTTGAATTTTGTCTTTTGAAAAATATCTGTTTATGTCTTTCCCCATTTCTTAATAGGGCTATTTATTTTCTATTATAAAAAAATCTGTAACTCTTTATAGATCTTTAATATTAGTCTCCTCTATGCTTTGCTAAATGCAAACACTTTCTCCCATTTAGTTGGTTGCTTCCTTATTTTTTTTTTTTGTTTAACTATTTTCCTTATACAGAAATTTCTATTTTTGATGTAGTTCCATTTGTTGATTTTGGTTTCAATTGTTCATGCTGTCAGTGTCTTTTCTAAGAAGTCTTTGCCCATGCTTATGACTATGCCTCATAGAGTGTTCTCTGTTTTGTTCTAGTAATTTGGTGATGTCTGGGTATGTGTTTAGGTCCTTGATCCATATGAAGCTGATTTTGTTATAAGGCTAAAGGTAGGGACCTTGCTTCTTACTTCTGCATATGGATAGTTAGTTTTCCCAGTAGCATATGTTGAAGGGACTAAGTCCTTCATTCTGCTATTTAAGTATATCCTGACATCATAGATATGGATATTGGTAGAGTCAGCATCATATTTTCAAAATATATATAACAGTTGCACTGGGAGTCCATCTTTGATATGCAAATAGAGATGCATACTTCATGGTATCTTCACATCTAGATATGATAGTCTTATTGCACAGTTACTATGCATAAAACAAAATCAACAATATGAAGAAAAAGAGAAAAATTACAACAGGAAGTTAAATAATTTGCTACTGAATGACCAAGGTGTTATTGAAGAAATTGACCAACAATCAATGTGAGTCAGACTGCTCATGATCTACATCAAAGAATCGTAAAACCCAATGCACTTTTAAGACCCTGTGCTTCTCAGTAATGGGGCAGGAGAGCAGAGAAATTTTCCATCTCCCTGGAATGCGTGAGGAAGACAGGAAGTATAACCTATCAGGAACATAACAGAAACTTATAGACAACAGACTCGAATCAGCATTAGACAATAGTAAAACTACAAAGACATACAGGGGGAATCAAGAGGGATCTTGACAACCTCTTAACAGGAGGTCATAAGCACAGAGCAGGGGGGGACCCCAGAGTGGAGCAGGTGGACAGGAGGAGGCTTGTATTCCAACCTTGAAGACTCCTAGATCCTCACCAAGGACTATCAGTACGGGCACCAAGGACTACATCCCAACTGCCAAGGAGATCACTGGGAATTGGAATGCCTTCGGAGGCTGAGAACTCTGAGGTCATCCACTCGCTTTTGAATCTCCCACATGGGATGAAGAAGCCCAAATCCTTCCTCGCAGGGTCCAATGTCATTGGAACAACAGGCAGGAGCCCTGAGCGGTTTGTAGAAACAGAAGAACAATAAACCCCCATCGGGACTAAGGAGAGGAGCTTTCTCTGGTCCTTACTTAGTTCCAACTTTGGATCCTCACCCTCTCTTGCAATGACCATCAGGGTCACCCCGGAGCCACTCCCCACCCAAACAAAACAAAACAAAACAAAACAAAACAAAACAACCCAAAACAACAGCAAAAAGTTAGAACAGATTGACAGAGAACAACAAGGAAAGCTTAGAATCAGACAGGAAATGGCCAGCAGGGACTCACATATACCTTACTAGGTAGGACATGAAAATAAGTTACTTTTCACTGGGGTATTGAGGACTTCTCTGCACACCCCTCCTAAAACTGTTCTGTGCCTCAACTGTTGACATACACCTTGCTAAAGTTATAAGCCAGTTTGGACTATCCTAAAATCCGCCGAATTCAGTAAAAATTATGCTTCAATACAATAAACTGCTAAATACAAAAATGAAAATAGACACGAGACAGCTGAATAGTAGTATGCTATAGCCATTTTAAGGTGGATAAGACAGTTGTATATAAACTAAAATTAAAATGTCAATGAAGTAGTCACAGGATGTGGTTAAGAACTTGCATTTTCTAACATATTGGTTACACAATACCATGTCAATTAATTCCATAATGTTGTAAATTGTCACTGATGTTATGTTGTGGCTTTAAATTGATTGGGATGATATTCTGCCAGCTCTGCTTTTAGACCAGAGAGGGTCTCTCCAAGAAACTGTTGAATTGATGTGGACAATAAGATGCTGGACTCTATGCTTGGTACATGCTTGCAATGAAAGAAGCATGACTGGATTTGAACTGCACTACTGCAACAAGGTGGAGGAATCCACCATGGGGAGAGGATACGGGGAGGGATTGGGGGAACCTCAGAGCCTATGAAACGATGTCATAAAATGAAATGCAATAATAAAAAAAAAACAAAATTCAAAACCTTAAAGAAAATGATTATACTGTATGAACTATGTGTCAATGAGGAAATAAGGAAAAAAAGGATTTTGAAGGAATGAAAATAAAAACAATGTCAAAACCCATGATATAAAGCAAGCACAGTATGGAAAGGGACAATTTTAACCTCTGTTGCTTACAAAAGAATTAAAATATCTCAAATAAATAATGTAATAATGTATCTCAAGAACATATTAAAATAGAAAAATGTGCAGGAAGTAAAAAAATAATAGAAATCACAACAAAAATAAATGGCATTGAAACTAGCAAACTATAAATTGCAACAAGAAAACCATTTTTACGAAGATGAGCAGAACAAACTTTTAGCCAGACTAGCAAAGCAAATAAGAGAGAAAAAGCAGGTAAAATTAGAGACGAAAAGGAAAACGTCCTAAGAGACTAGTAAGGTGATCTCTTCTGCCGAATGGATCCTTTGATCATTATGTGGTGTCCTTCTTCATCTCTTTTAGTATTTTTCACATCAGAGTTTTTATTTTCTGATGTAGGAATGGCTACACCAGCCTGTTTTTCCTTTCCATTATCCTGGAATATCTCTTTCCATCCTTTTACTTTCAGTTTGTGCATATATTTGTTGATGAGTAGCCAGCCTCACCTGTAGGCAACAGATGGATGAGTTTTGTTTTTGATACAGTCTGGTAATCTATGACGTTTAATTGATGAGTTTAGGCCATTTACATTCAGGGTTAATGTGGATAGGTAGTAATTTGGTCCTGTCCTTTCAGCAATGGATTGTTCATTATTTGACTTAATTATCTGGTGTCATTGTACTGCAATATTTTCCACATGTACCTTTGATTTTGGTAGGTACCATTCCTTTTCTCTGTTAGGATAATATCTTTAAGTAGCATTTGTAGGGCAACTCTGAAAGAGGAAAATTCTTTGAGCTTTCCTTTACTGTGGAAGAATTTTATTTTATTTTCAAAGACAATGGAAAGCTTTGCTGGGTAAGTTATTCTGGACTGACAATTTTTTTGCATTTAGAATCTAAAATATGTCACTCCATTCTCTTCTTGCCTGTGGAATTTTCTCGAGAGATCCGTAGTGAGTCTGGTTGAAGTTTCTCTATATGTTAATTGATTTTTTTCATGAGCATATTTAAGGAATTTTTCCTTGTGTTCAACTAAAGAGAAATGATTATCATGTGATCAACATACTGTAATGAATGATAAGGAAATTTTTACCTAGTATTTCTGTGTTTCATAAGTTTCAAAATTCTAGCGTACTATTTTTTTTGTTAACTAAGTTTTATTCCAATTTAAATGTCATATGTAAACAGCAGTTTTCAAAAATTTACCTTTAATATACATTGAAATTATACAAAGGGGGTTTAAAAATGAAATGCTTCATGAATTTTTGTGTCATTTTTGCACAGGGACCATGCTATTCTCTGCATCATTCCAATTTTAGTATATGTGCTGCTGAAGGAAGCACCATATACTGGGTTTAAGGTATTCCATCTATCCTTAAGATTGGAGCATTTAACCAGGCTTGTCCAGTGCTGGGGCCTCAGTAATAAACAATTTAGACAAGATATCTGTGATCTCGGAATTTATTTTCTAAAAGCTGCATTGTATGTTATAAACTAAATCCTTAAACACTATATATCAGAGGAAATATGGATTACTAACATATCTTTTACGTCATGTCTTTCCAGGTTAGTTATACCGCATTTCTTGACTAAGAAAATAATTTTGCATTATTTTTACCATGTAAATATTATGAGCATATAACAAGTGTATTTGCCAATAACCCTTCTTCCTCTTTCTTTCTTGACAGAAATATATGTCCATTTTTATTTCAGTATTTTCCTTGTTCCTATTTCTTTTTAGCTCTCCTACTTAACAAGAAGGGCCATTTATCTTTATTTCTTTACAATTCTGTGTATAGGGGACTATTCCACTTTATTCTCATTTCTTGAATTCCTTGCTTTCCAACATCCAGAAATTCCTTTATTATTCTTTGAGTCTCTGTAGAATCTGTACTGATGTCACCAGTACTTCCTAATTTTAGTAGCTCCTTTTTCTAATATTGATAACCTACTATAAATTATTAGCCTTAAAATTGTTTTGTAAATATTGTCAAAAATCAACTTATAAGTGTGTTAGTGTGTTTCTTTTTTATATTTCCTATTTAATTGATATCCAACAATTTTTAAAGATTTATTTCATTCTGCTTAGTTGATTTTTTTTTCTTTCTATAACTGTTAATGTTTAGCTCCTCATTGCTCACAAGAACACTGAAATTTGGGGCCCGGCGCGGTGGCGCAAGTGGTTAAGTCCTCGCCTTGCACGCCCGGGATCCCATATGGGCGCCGGTTCTAGTCCCGGCAGCCCCGCTTCCCTTCCAGCTCCCTGCTTGTGGCCTGGGAAAGCAGTCGAGGACGGCCCAAAAAGCTTTGGGAACCTGCACCCGCGTGGGAGACCCGGAAGAGGCTCCTGGCTTCGGATCGGCATAGTATCGGCCCGTTGCGCTCACTTGGGGAGTGAATCATCGGATGGAAGATCTTCCTCTCTGTCTCTCCTCTCTGTATATCCGCCTTTCCAATGAAAAAAAAAAATAATAAAAATAAATCTTTAAAAAAAAAAAAGAACACTGAAATTTGTACATATGTAATCACAATTTAGCTTCTTATAATTTCACATAGAATTGTTTTGATGATCTGTAACTATTTATAATTTACTTTATTTGATTTTTTTTTTATTTTGTGTAGTCTTTAGCAGTGTCTTTTGCTTTCATTATTTTGAGATTGTTCCCACTCTACCTCTTTTTCTTAGTTTTTACCATGGAGGAATGTTATATATTTTTTAAAGTTTCATTTATTTTATTGGAAAGGAGGATATACAGAGAGGAGGAGAGACAGAGAGGAAGATCTTCCATCCGATGGTTCACTCCCCAAGCATCCACAATGGCTGGAGCTGAGCAAATCCAAAGCCAGGAGCCAGGAGCTCTTCCAGATCTCCCATGTGGGTGCAGGATCCCAAGGCTTTGGGCCATTCTCGACTGCTTTCCCGGGCCACAAGCAGGGAGCTGGATTGGAAGCAGGGCTGCCGGGATTAGAACTGGCGCCCATATGAGATCCAGGCAGGTGCAAGGCAAGGACTTTAACCACTATGCTATTGCACTGGGCCCAGGAATGTTAAATTTCATCAAATGTCTTATCTATATCTACTGAAATGATTAAATGACTTTTGTCTTTGTTCATCTCAGTATAAAATTTAAGCTTGTTCAAATGGCATAAATGTAATATCCTCCCTGCTGCCCCTAAAACATGTAATAAATATGCTGGTTTAAGGATGCTTTGTTCCTGTTGGCATTGTTATCTAAAATATTTTATTTCTTTTCTTTTTTTTTTTTGCCTCATTGTGTCCTTGAAGATATTACTTTGACATCTCCCCAATGCAGTCTTAAATGACCATTTCATTAAAATGAAAACCCTGTGCTCTTCTGTGTCAATGGGGTTTTCATTACTTTAACTGAAATACTGTGAGGAATTTCTTGGGGGAAAAAATGTACTTCAGCTTTCACTTTGCAAGTTCATGGTGCATACCCCGTGTCCTCATTAGTCTTGTCTTGTGTCTGATGGGGGCTGGCAATGGTAAATGGTAGGTTACTCAGCTGAAATAGTCAACCCGTCTCTCTAGAAATAGCCTCTGAGCACAGCAGTCTAAAGACCGGCTCTTCTCAGACACCACATTTAGAATAAACCTTTGCTCTTTAATCCAGGAAACCTTAACGTACATTTTCAAAGGTTAGACACCGACGAGCAATCGGGCACCCAAGTCCTTCTTAATCCACAATTATCTCCTCTGCTCTATTTTTTAACCTAAAATATTTATTTTTCTCTACTATCTACATAGTAAATGTAATATTTTCTTTTCTTTCTCTCTCCATGAAATGTAATAGGATGGAAGGGAATTTTTCTTATTTTGTTGTTCTATATCTGTGGAATGTTGTCACAAGCTAAAAGATGAAAAGGCTTTTGTTTGTTTCTTTGTTTTACCATGGCTCGGTGCCTTTTGCTGATATTATTATTATTATTATTTTACATGATACAGTTTGTAGATAAAGGAATTTCTCCTTACCTCTACCCACCTTCGTCCCCAATTTTTGGCCACCATTTCCCCCATATTATCTCAGTATTATAGTTCTTTAGTAATAACTACAAGTTTAACATTCTGCTATTTAGTGCATCATGGCATTGTGGGTATAGGCCTCTAATAGATTACGCTGTCATATGACTATGTTAGAGTTTGGGATTATTATTACAAAGAGCATAGAAAATAAAAACACAAGTTTTTTGAACCAAGATTGAAGTTTGTCATGCAAAAGGTAATATACATTTAGGCTTCATATTCCAATGATGCTTGTCAATGTTAAAGCACTTTTCAAATGTAAGGAATTAAAGTATTTTTTATAGTGGCTTCAGAAAATTTCAGTGCTTATTTGACATGAATACTCTCAACCAACAACTACCTGCAGCTTTTAAGTATTGCAGGTCTATAAAACGAATAAAGCCTGAGGTTGCAAAAGTAATGTAGGTAATTTCATATATTTTAATGCGTTCCAAATATTTTCTCTTGAAACACATTTATATTACTTAAAGTCATTGTATAATTTTGTCTGATATTTTCTTCATGCATAAAGACTAAAATAATTGGGAAAACCATATACAAATTATAATTGTCATAATCTAAGGATACACTAACTTTGTATTTTAATTAATAAAATCTTAAAAATCTCTTATAACCTGCTTTGATAACTTTCAAGAAGGAACAAATTATCTACAGTGAAGAGTTAATGTACACGTAACAGTAGTAAGTAAAGAGGTATATGTTCAATTTTCTAAATTAGATGAATTTACAGTTATTCTGTGGCTGCTTTGAGCTCTAGATGTTAGGATGCGTTGTTTAACATCATGTAAGCTGTTACGGACATTTAAGGAGAAGTGCATACAAGTGAAACAATATTACAAATGAGTTTACATGAGAGTTCATCAATTTTTATTAGGTCTTATTTTAACACTTCAATTTCCAAACAAAATTAATAAGCACTGAATGTTTTAGTTAGACAAATGGATTTATGAGATGAATGGGGATTTGGGAGAGAATAAACTGAGCTGTAAATGGCTGTGTTCTTTTATAGGCATTTAGTATCCCTCTTAACACATCTTAAAATGCACTGAACTAGATTTTTGTGCTAGTTTCTAAATAAGACTGTACTCCTTTCTCTTTTAAACAATGCAGTCATATCCTTATTTGGATAGCTCTTTTTATTCAAGTATATAGCATGTATTTTTGAGTTGGCTCTGTAGAACGTCAGAATTCCTAAAGATCTTGTTTTTTGTAATGTAAATACTGTGTATGTTTTAGTGAAGCAGGAATTTTTTTTTTCAAAGTACAGCAGGGGATAAAAATCATGGTTTTTGATATTTGCATGCCTTGGAAGTATTATAAGCTCCTTTCAGTAGAAAATATATAGTATTCTCGGAGTATTTGTAGGACTTGAATGAATTCAGTTCTGGGAGATATGAATGGTGCACATAGACAAACCACAGATATGTATGCAATGATTGATTTATATTCCTATAAATAATAAGAGTTTTATGTGCCACGATTCATAGTTACACTGTTGTTGGCTACACTGTTGTTGTACACTGCTATTGTTTATTTATTTATTTATTTGTTTACTAAATCAAAATGAAAGTTTTTGTAATAGTAATAATCTAGGTGTATTTAGTGACATAGGATGCATGCTAGTTTACCAGGATAAAGTGTGTTCTACCATGTGGTCCTTAAGAAAGCTTTCCTATTTTGAACTATTACAGGTCAGATTTTGCAATTTTACTGATTGTTCACAAATGAGCTTCTAATTATATAGAGTTTTAGCTTTTTGTGATGTTGTAACATATAAGAAGCATGAAAATGACGTGGAGCCTGGGACTCTGTACAGTCATTCAAAGGAATGAGGGTGATCACAATAATGTGTTATATATATATATATAGTGTTAATGGAAATGTCTTGTTATTTAGAGCCTTCACCATTCTTTATTCATTCATTTGCTTCATTAAAATTTCAATCTAGAATAGAAATAAATGAAAGGCAAGTTGCTTAGTGCACTGGTTCTCTTCTTATTTTCCCGGTATTTATTTGGTCCTTTAGTAATGCTCATCTTGGGGCAGGACTTGTGGTGTTGGGGGTTAATCCTATGATCCAAGCAGAGTACCCACATCTCATATTGGAGTGCTTGGGATGGAGTCTTGCCTACAATTCTCATCCACCTTTTCTTACCCAAGCCTCATCCACCTGCAGGAGGCGGTGGATAATGGTTTAATCCTTGCTTCCTGCCACCTCTGCGGGAGCCTCAGATGCAATTCTAGGCTCTTGGCTTTGGTCTAACCTTGTCCATTTTGCATTTAGGTAGTGAACTAGTA